AGCCTCCTTTACACCATTTTCCTGCATTTTATGTTTCCTTTCATGAAATGGACATTTTTAAAGAGTACAGGAAAATTATTTTGGAGAATGCTCCTTAATTTGAGTTTGTTTGCCTTCTGATTTGATTGAAGTTAAACATTTTTTTAAGCAAAAATGTTTTGTGTGTGATGTTTCGTTTGTGTCCATGTATCATTACAGGAGGCAGATAATTCCACTTGTTGCAATATTATTGACACTGCCTGATCATTTACTTAATTTACTTTTTAATTAATCCACATTATAATTTAATTATTACCAAATTACTTCTGCAAATCTGATAAAGATCAGGAGCGCACCAGTACACAGTGAGACTGTTGTTGAAAACTGTAGGGCCAGCTAATTCCCTGAAACATAATGCTCCACTGGACTCTGGGGCGTTTCTTATTTGGGCGAGAGAGGCAGCATGGTACACTAATAAGATCACAGTGTAAGCCCTAGGTCACACCACCATGGTTCGAATCCCATGTCACTATATCTCAACTGAGTGACACTGAGCTTGTTCATTGTCTCCATAAACTTCAGTTCCTCCTCTACAAAAAAACGATAATGATGGGCTGCACATAGAGTTGCTGCATGCATTAGATAAAATATAAATATAAAGTGTTTAGCACAATGCCTGACAGGCAGTGCTCAATTAATGTTGTCATACTCTTATGGGCCATGTTTCCTTTAAAAGCAAAGGAATCCATATAAATCACAGCACCCTGAGAGCCTAGATCAGCAGGTGCCTTTGGAGATCTCCCAGGCTTTCATGAATAATCCATATTATTCCCATTTTGGTGCCCCAAATTAGTACTTCTCCAACATCTAACATGCATAAGACACTCCAGGACCTTGCTGACAGCAGCTTCTGATTCAGCAGGTTTAGAGCAGTCTGAAATCTTCACAGACTTCTCCCACAGGATGCCACTGCCCCTCGACCCTGGACCAGAGTCGAGTAGGGAAACCCTGAACCCCTCACAGGAGGAAGCCTCTGCAAACATCTCAGCTCAGACTCAGGCACAATACTGTCCTTTCAGGGAAAGTCTTCATAAGAAACTGCCTTCGGGCTTTCTTTTGAGGAATTTCTGTCAATCACCAACCAAATATATACTTATTAGCCATTAGGGCTGTTTAGAAGGGGACTTTTACCTCAACCTTTTCTTGGCGGTTTATCTTTTTATTCTGGAAGTGTGCCCATATATAATACATGCTTGTGAAAGATGAAATGGTAGAAAATGCTTTATACTGATCAGAATTTTAATGCTAATCTTCCACTTTTTAACCTGGTTATCAAGTTGGTCAACCTCTTCAAACCTCAATTACTTCATCTGAAAATGACTTTAATAATGTTAACCTCATGAATCCTTTGTGTCAAATTATATTTACATGTATGCCTATCTCTAAAGAGAGAAGTAGCAAAAAACAAAGAGAGATAGTGAAGAGAGCGAGAAAGTGAGAGGTGTGAGAATGGGTTAATATTTCCTGGCATGTTTTAGGTGCTGTAGGATGAGTAGTGCGAGTAACTTCTATTACTATTATTTGTGAGCCTGTCAGCATTCATTTCTATTTTCATCAAGGAATTCTGCAGGGTCCCAGGGTTGCAGACCCAGAGAGTAGCATCATTCTGGAGCTGCAGGCAAGCTGTCCATGTTTCTTAGAGACTTTTCCACCCTGAAGGTAAATCCATCATGCCTCTCTCTCCTGGGTTTTGACAGGAGAACACAGGTCTTATGGAGCTGATATGCGTGCATCTGTTTACACAGTCTCCAAATTAGATTAACCCACCTGTGGTCAAGATTCCAATTTGCTTCAAACTCAGTAAGCACAGATTTGTGTTTAAAATTCACCCTCACACATACTCCAAATGAGGAAAAGTCTCCAGCGTCCCTGAAAAGTGAAGCTGTTTTTACTTAATTCCCCTTGGGGCCTGGGATCCTTGGATGAGCACTTCAAGTCAATGTAATCAATGTAATCGGGCGAGTGGACTACCCTTCTGTGAAGGGAGTGTGTCATTCTGCGGTGCATGTGTCCTTTTGGTTAAAGCTGGATTTCCCTCCAGTGTATTTTGTCTTCCCCTGGGAAGATGGATGCATTAGCTGCACTTGATTGAAAAGGAAGAGTGCCAAATTTAGTGATAGAATAAAATGGAGTTTTAGTGCTTTAGGTTATTTGTTAGCTGTGGTACAGGGGGCTTTCCTCCTATCCAGAGGCATGATGGTTGCTGGGGGATTTCTCCCTGTTCCAGCTGTGTCAGGACTGCTGGGAGTCTTGCTCCCATTCTAGATGTGTTCAGCCTCCTGGTTCTAGAGGCATGACCACTACTGGAGGGATGCAGCTCCCCGTGCACTTTACTATGGCACGGAAACCTCAGACCCAGGTTTGCAGTGCTACAGATGGAAGAACAACAGAATTGCCACCCCAATCAAAAGCTCGATCTACACATGAGGGTCTCCTGACTGAAGATCTGTTCAGGATCCATACCATCATATTTGGAGCAGAGCTGAGTTTCGGACCTGGACTCCTCATTTTTAGTTGTGTTTCACAAAATTCTGCCCTTCCAATGAAACTAACATTGCATATTTTCTTGTTTGCAGCAAGGAACAGTTTGCAAATCCATATGTAACCTTTGTTTCCCATGGCCAACTCGACTGATTATCAAAGGTTACAAATGGACGAGAAAGCAACTTCTGAGTTGATTCTCACCCTTAAAATCTCCTTTCTGATTCTTCCTTTCTAGTCCAAGGACCTCTTGGATTATTTCCCAAACTGGCACAGGGCCTTCACTATTCCCTGGATTACACAAGGCCTTCTGACTCCACTATCATTTTGCTTTGTGACTCTCTGGTTTTTGTGCCTAGGGGCAGCTTGACCGTAAACCCACAGCCTTAGTATAGTACTCCCTGCAATCCTCCTGCCTTATTTGGTGCTGCCACAGTCATGAGAGGAGGAAAAGGAAAGACTCTTCTCTCTCTGTTGTTGGGTGAGACTGTCGCCTTGGCCCTCAGCATCTCAGAGCTTCTAGTTTGAAGAGCAGTTTCAGATGATGGGCTCCTCCCAGCAAACTCTGCTCCTTATGAATTTGTCAGAAATCCTTGTGAAAACTAAGCCAGAACATAATCTCTACAGTAAGAACTATTCCATCTAGGTTTTCAGAATAGGAGACCAACCATCAAAGATGATAAGGGCCCCAATACTCTGAAATGGAAAATTCAGAATTTAATTTTATTTGTATCTGGTCTCATATTCACGACCTTCTCATGAATCCATACTATTTCTGTAACACACTCTGGCATCAGTGGTGAGGGGAGAGGATATTTATTGGCAAGCAAGTCTTCAGTTTCCAGGAAATTGCAACCTGGACTCCTCAAGGAAAGGAAAAGCAGATGAGCATATTCTGCATTTGCATGATCCTCCTGTTTTCTTCTGGATCTTTGAGTAAAGACTCTGTGACAGCCATATAAAATCTAGAAGGACCTGGAGCACTGGTACATTTCCCACTTTTGATTAGAACTGATAATCCTGGGGAAATAAATTCTGTTTTCCCCCAATGTCCAATGAAAATAGTAGCTACTATTTTCTTTCTCACAAATGGGGCATAATGCAATGTACACCACCAACCCATTCATCTTTCTAAGAAATAATGACGCCAGTGATGATAGTGATGGTGATGGTAAAGGATGAGGATAGAGGGAAGTGAGGGAATAAGGACACTCCACATGGAGCAGGCATTATAACAGGCACCCTCCAGAGAAGAATGCTACAACTTCCAATGGCCTCGTGGTGAAATGATCACTCTGATATTATAAATGATAAATCTGGGTCTCAGATGGACTCATACTGCAAACAAGTTTGCTGGTTAACTTTGATTGTCATTTTGACTGAATCGAGAGACATCTGGAGAGGTGATTGGATTGTGAGTGTTAGTTCATAGCTGATGAGTTCATAACTGAATGGGTTAATAGGAGGTGAGGCCTATTTGCAGGAAGGTGGGTCATGGGGACTTGACCTTATAATATATGCTATATATATGCTACATGTGATGCCTCGGCCATTCTTCTCTGGCACTCTTCCCCTGTTCTGCCTCCCAGATGCCATGAACTAAGCAGCTTTGCCATACTATACCCTTCAGCCATGATGTTCCTGCTTTGTAGCCAGTGACCATGGACTGAACCCCTTGAAAACATGAGCAAAAATATATCCTTCATCCTTTAAGTTGTGTACAGTATGTTGGGTATTTTGTCTTAGCAACAGAAAGCTGACCAATGTAAGAAGTATGAAGCAGGATGGGGATTATTTCAGAGGAAGGTCCCTTTCTCCTTCTCATTATTCTTTCTCCCACAACCATTCAGTGCACTAACTCAGTCCTTTAGATTCATGACTGAGTTTTGACAGTGGAAGCACATGTTATCTTTCATGTGTAGATTTCAGCAAATGCAGGCTGCTGTCAGAGGGTTTCATTATTAATGACCAAACTGGAGGCAGGGATTGTGGATCCCATACGAGGGGATGAGATTTGTGATTGCAGTGATTCTATCACAATTATTCAGTGACCTCAACACGGGAGGAAAATGCCAGTCAGACTTGCTCTCCTGGCATTACTGTCTGTCCTTGTTACCTCAGTCCAGTCCCTCCAGCTTCCATTCTCCAGGGGCATGGAAGGGACAGCCTCCAAAAACAGAGCACTGCTCAGCTGATTGACGTGGGGCTTGAGTGTAGAAAGCAACAGAGGCTTTTGAGTGGAATTATTGAAGTCTGCCTGCTTCGCTGATGAAGGATAGGAATGAAAATTGCCTTTAAAGGATAAAGGGAGAGATAACAATAGATCAAAGCTGGTCCAAAAGAGAGAGAACATTTTATGTAAAGCTTCCACATTAATTCACAACAATCTGATGAGCAGAGATTCGCCCATGCACGCACTTTCCACAAAAAGCAAACGCCTCTCAGGTTGCTTTTATTCTTATACAATATTAATGCCCAAGGCAAGAAACATTCTGTACTTCACTCAGCAGAGCCTGTCCAAATTTACAATTAAATGGAACTGACACAGCTGATCATCCTGAATCTTGTTTCCTTTTCTGCTGGGGCTTTTCCTTTGGAAGCTGGGATATTATGCTGGCTGCATCCCAAGCCCACAGAGCTTGCTCTACCATTTTCCTCACGGGCACCGAGGCATCATATTCAGTTAGAGCAACAAGGCTCATCGAGGGAGATTCACCCACCTGGGGACGCTTGGCAGTGCCTGCAGACAGTGTTGATGATCACGTCAGGAGAGATGGTGCAATTGGCCTCTAGTGGCCACAGCTCAGAGATGTTGAGAAAAGTCCTACCATGCATGGAACATCTCCACCCCTCACATAATTATGCAGCCCAAAATGTCAATTATGCCAAGTCTGGACAGTCTTGAGGCAGAAAGTACTTTAGGAAAAGCAAGGTTCAAGAGGTTCCTCTTTTAGGATATAGGATGCACTATAAACAGGAGTTTACTGCTCAAAATTCTGTATGTGAAAGGGGTACAGTGAACCCAAGGGAAAAATTAGAATGGCACACAGAAATCAAAAGACTCTAAACAGACACTTGGTTTAAGATAATGGAGACAAATTTGTAGCACCATGGGGATCTGTGAAGAACAGGGAGATGAATAGGTTTACAGCAGTGTTTGTTCAGAGTTCTTATTTCTATCCTGTAGTTTTATTGTCCAATGTGGACGAGATGATGTTTTTTGAAAATGTATTAATGAGATAGGTAACTTTTGTAACAGTTAGATTTTTTTCTAAGGCGTCAAAATATCTTGGGTTGGAGTCTCAAACAGTTCACAGACAGGTGAATTGAAACAGGTTAAATTTTTTCATTCTGCCAAGCTGGTGTTTAGGAAAGAAGGAAGCAAAGAAGGCAGAAGAGGAGAGAGGCAGGCAGGAGGTGTGTTGGAATGCCCATAGGGAGGACACAGTTTTAGTGCCATGAACTCCACCCCTTCCTGGTGCTACACCTACTCTCAGTTGCACAAATAGGTTCCTCACGTGACCCCAATCACTGGCATTTTACACCCCTAATTTTAGATTTTAACATTGCAGTCTAGATGTTTAAAGATTAGAAAAGTTCCTAAAATCACACTGTCTTTGTCTGCCCACAAGACTGACCTTGACTTTATGACTACACAGAGAGAAATCCTAATATTTAGATAGCTTTTCACGAGAAGTGTGGGAAGCCAGCCTCATTAGTATTTGGTTGCACTTTATATGAAGGATCACAAATAAATGTTTGATGTAGAAATAACCACAGGCAGCATCTAGCAGCATCTATTAGAAACATCTAGGGAGTTTTTGAAAAATACTTAGAGGTTCTGGTTTAATTGGTCGGTAAAGGGCCCAGAAGTATGCATTTTTAAAGCTCCCGGATGGTTTTGTGAGCACCCAGGGATGAGAAGCTCTGATCTAGTCTGCCTCCCCGTTCTCACAACAAGAAAATGAAGATCAGAAAGATAAAGTTTGTTCAAAATATGTTTTCTGAATGTACGCCTCTAGTGCTTCTGCACGCTCGCTCTAATCAGGCTACATTCGCAGTGGAAAAAGTAAGGGGAACCCAGGAGCTGTGTGGTAAGGCCGTTTCCAGGTCTTGTTGGCAGGAAGAGTGGCTGGCAGCCTCCGAGGGAACCGGCTGTCTTGAATTTGGCAGCCTCTAACTGGCCCGTGCTTCTCTGGTCTTCGGAAACTCCCCACGGCGGCAGTGGGAGGCTTGCGGTGCTGGTTTGGCTTGATGAAACGCCCGCTTCTGCCTGCTTTGTTTGATGTGCATTCCAGCTCCTTGGACTGTCAGGTGTATCTGCATTATCCAAGACACAGAGGAGACGTACTTTAGAAGGATGCAAAGATGTTTATTCTCATTGAAACAAAATTTAACATGTCACAGTGGTGCTATTAATAGGAACGCAAACTCAAGTTGAATTCTCTTTGCTAAGATGATAGTCAGTGTTGGCTGGCAGGAGAGCTGAGACCAGGGCAGGAGCAGAGTCTCAGTGCTCCTGGACTCTTGGTGGAGTTGTGGGAAACAATGGAGACATCAGAGCTCCTGGGTGGACACCTATGTTCACTAATTGCAAATTCCACAGACCTCAGCAAGTTTGAAGCCTGCAATAAAATAAAGGTTATGACAGCATAAAGCCTTATAGAATCACAACTTTTTCAGACATTTCCTAAAACTCTGAGGAGGCCAGGGTATAGTGGGTGGCCAGGAAGTGCAGGAGGCCCCAACTGTGGCCCCAGATGGGGCGAGCACTTTCTATGTCTCCTCTCATTTGTTCTGGCGGCGGTTCATGTGTGAAGTTAGTATTCAAGCCCATGTTTCATGAGGGCAGAAACTGAGGATCTGGGAGATCAAAGGACTTCTTCAGAACTTACATCCTTAGGAAATCACAGGGCCAAAGTTCTATGTGCGTTTTTGTGTGTGTGTGTGTGTGTGTGTGTGTGTGTAGATTTACAGATAATATCTACCTGTGTGCTTCATGTAGTGTTATTGAACTCCAGCTTGTGTTTAGATTGAGGGTTTTGGTTTTATTGAATGGTACAGGTTGGTAGGATCCAGCTAGTAAATACTTTCCTTCTGCTTCTTGTCCTCAAACTTACCCTTGATAATAAGTCAGGCAGACCATGTGACTCTTCTAGCCTCTTTCTAGGTAGTTTTTATTATGACAATCTCACTTTCAGATATCAAAGACATCCAAATTTAATATTAAACTCAGTTCAATACTTTTCTCCAGCCCAGCTCAAGTCACATGCACATTTTTATGATGGGGAAAGTAGGAGGAGTGCTTACTTCTCATCCAACCACTTCATCTGCTTCTCCTTTGCACTTGCTCTTTCTTCCCTCCTCCCCCATATCGCAGGCTGTTTCTTCCTCCAAGAGCAGCTCAAGGAAAAGCTGAGAAATTAAAGTCTAAAAATGGCTTTACGTGACTGATGCTAGCGAGTGCGGCATCTGAGCTCTCCGGGTGGCAGACACCCAAGCGCTGGCACTGGTTGCCCTGAGGGCCATGCTGGGGTCTTTGGAAGCACCCTTGGTGGCTTCCTTCATTTGAGAATCAAGGGCCTCAGTGGGGACCAAGCACGAGCTTCCAGTGACCCTGCCCAACAGAACCACCCAGGATATGCTCAGCGACCTAGCCATAACCTGTGGCAGCACCTGTGCACGGTGGTTAACCTGAGAAGCTCAGCAGAGACGAATATTGGAAGCTGATCAGACCCCCAGTCATCTAACTAAGGGTACGCAGCCAGGATTAAAAAAGACAAGACAAGATCTTAATGCAGAAATGGGGGCCCAGGATGGTCAGAGCTCTTATCAGGCTAACACCGTCTCCTGGAGCTCACCACTATTTATTGAACACACAGCTTCTAGAAAGGGTAAGGGGCGGTGCAGGGAACAGTGAGATGGAGAGCACTGATGTGAGCAGGGTCCTGGAAACAAGGGATTGATACATTCTAGCAGGGACAGCTCATAGATTAATTGGAAATTTGTTTCTTCCCATGGATGAATTTTTGCCTCCATAGGAGTTTTCTATATGAGTCATGCTGCCCTTAGCTGCACCATTGTCTTGCCATCCAAGACATCACGTGTCATGGATCGTTGAGACCTTTGCCATAACCAGTGGCATGGGGAGCTGTTCCTTTCCCACACACCAACTGCTGGCTCTTTAGGCAGCCATTGTGGGCTAATAGGTAGACTCAGACTTTTAATATGAAAAGCCAATTTGTGAATTTTCAGCTCTCTTAAGGTGGTCTCCATCAGACAATGTGTCCTGAGTTTTGATTAGGGGCTGATAAGGAAACAGCCTCCCTGCCTGGCACATACCAAAATGTGAGGCTCCCAGAAGGAGAAGCTGGTGTCCAGCATGGATGGTACTGTTTATGCAAACAGTTTAGCTATGGTGCCACATTCTTAGCAGCAGTACAGCAGATGCTGAATTCCCAGACAGGAGCTGAGGTCAGTCAAGGCCAACCTGGCAAGCAGGCTTTTCAAAGGACGCCAGGCCGGCCTGCTATGTGGACTCCTTCACATGCCTTCTTCCCTTCCAGAGCACTCACACTGGGGTGTTGACCAGGACTCTTAACCCATCAGGTTTCTCACTCCCAGCGCAGACTTCCGGCAGTGCCTCCCTAGCTTCTTCCTCTTGGGAAACTGCACCCCAGCCAGGCTGTCTCGTGTCCATCTTCTGTGGTTGTCTGTGGACACTGAGTTCTAGACAGTTCGAGAGTTTCTGAAACTGTGGCTCTGTGGGCAACTGCAACCACTGTGTGCCAGAGCAAGGGCCAGGCACTTTACTCTGTGCCCAACAAGCACAAAGACATTCGTGTTCATCCTCCCAAGGGCTTCCTCACTATTCTTTGACTCTTGGTCTTGGAGGAAATTGGTTTCTTTTCGTTGGTTTGGAAGAGGACAGCATCCGTCCTCCACATATTCTCGGATGTCCACAATGTTCTCCTAAAATCCTGGACAAATCTCTAGGCTGCTCTTATATACAGACTGGGGGTGAGGGACAGGCAAAAGTATCCCAAATGGGCCTGGCCACCTCTTAGCAAGTTCTTTGTTGATGTACCCAGCAGCTCTTTTTCAGAATCCCCAATTCTTTGTATTCATTTATTTTCTGCAACAGTGAGGCCTGAACCCAGGAACTTGCACATTCTGGGCAAGCATTCCACAGAAAACTGCATCCCTAGATCTGTGTTTTTATTTTCTACCCTGAGACAGGATCTTGCGAAGTCCCCTGGACTGGCCTCAAACCTCTGATCCTCAGCCTCCCGGGTGCTGGGACGGCCAGTGTGCACTTCTGCCTCCAGCTAGCCCCCACTCTTTATTGTTCAGAACTCTGGGCTCCTACCCAAACTCCAGGAAACAGATGTTGCCATGAGCACCACATCCCTGGACTTGGATGATAGTTCAGATGAGATTTGTGCCCAGAAACCCACGTGCTGGAAGCTTGAGCCCCAGTGTGTCAGTGGTGCATGAGACACTAAGAGGTGGTGGCTAATGGATGCAGAGAGGTCCTGGGGCTCACCTCTCATAAACGGATCACTGCTTTCTCATGAGAGTGGGTCAGATCTGGTGTGCCTCCGTTAGTCCTCAGGACAGTGGGTCGTTATAGCTGAAGTCACTGCGTGAGCTGGCTGGCTCTCTGCCCTGGGACACAGTCTGAGGTCCCTCGCCAAGATGCTGACACCAAGCTCTTTGGGTCTTCTACCCACCAGAACTATAAGGGACACAAACCTCTTTGCTTAGTAAAGTTCATAGGCTCAGGCATTTTGTTATAGCAACACCAAACAACCTGTGACAGCCCCTACTTTCATGCTCCCAAAGACTTGATCACCACTGCCTCAGTTTACTCAGACATTCATAGGGCTTCTATAATTTTCACTTAGGTTCTGTCTTCTCCACAGTCTCCAGTGATCGGTTTCTAGTAGTGTTCAATGTAGTTGTTTACCTAGTTAACTTCTGGTTATCCAAAGCCCACAGGAGTGTCCAGATTCCTCGGGATAGTTCACAAAGGCTCTTCACAGCCCCGCCTCGCCTGCCTTTCCAGTTCCACTTCTCAACCATCCTGGCTTGTCTTAGACATTCTTGGTTTCTGTGTCCTGAGCTCTTTCCTTCTCTGGCCCTTTGTTCATGCTGTTACCATGCTTATCTGCACAGAAATCATCTACCTACCCCTCAGAGCCCCAGAAAGAGTTAGCAAGGCCTTGGGTTTTATACTTAACTCTGAAGTGAATGAAGGAAGGAATGGCGACTAAACCATTTTTGACAATTATAGATATTCTAACTCTTCAGCATAGATTTATAGTAAAAAGGGGGCTTTGTTTTCTATGTCTGGCACACACTGCATATCACAAAATGAAGGTCTTGCCATGCCTTCTTAGTACTTTGGGCATCTCAGCCCTATCATCTGTTTCCCTCTCCCCCAAAATAAGATCTAGTAGGAAAATGATTAGCCTTACAAATTGGAGGTAACAAAAAAATGCCAGCTCCTGCCAGGCTAAACTTGCCTCCCCTGCCATCACTATCCTCTTGCTCAGTGGCTACTCTGTAGGACAGCTAAGGCAAGGATAGGTTGCTTGAGACTGGCATTTTTAATCTCTAGTTTTCAAGGCTCATTTTGTGGCAGAATTCCAAGAGACAAGAGAGATCAAATGAGAATCAGGAGGATTTACTTAAGGTGAGCACTGGCTCAGAGGACTTGTGTCCCAAGGCTGAGCGATTGAACAAAGGACAGTTTTGCTTTTTATACATTTAGTCCAAGGGGGGTGGTCTTTCTGGTAATGCAGTAAATAAGTTTACCGAAACAGGACAGGGCAGACTGTTTTGCAACTTAGCCTTGTAAGAAGACAGTCTTATGAATCGTACAGAAACAGAGTCACGAATTTTGTGTACAGGACAAAGTTGTTTACAGAGAGTATGGTTCCTCAGGGGTCACAACCCGTCTTTTATAGGAATCTGTCTGTGCCCGATCAGTACTGGGGGAGGTCAGCAGTCATGGGAAAGGGGGGCAGAACCTGAGAGGGGAACTGCTAGACCACTTTCGGCCAGGAGAACTGATTTTCTTTGAAGTTCTGCTTTAATTATTTTTCAGTAAGGCCTTATTTTCAGGGAAACATGGTAGCTGTGTGATCTTCATCAAAACTATTTGAACTCCCTGTGCAGCAGCTTTGTCATCTGTAAAACTGAGATAATCGTGTTGTTTAATTGGGTTGTTCTGACAGTTGCATCATGTAGGGTGATGTTATAAAGCCTGGAAAATGAGCTTGGTATAGATTACAGTCTATGATATTTGTTGTGTGAATATTTTATACAAATTTGCTTTATAAATACGGACTTTTCTGTTTTAGAAAATCTGCTCACACTTTCATGACCAGATGTGTAAGGGCAGGGGTCTTCCTGCCCATTTTATCTGCCCAGCAGTAAGCATATCTAGAAGGTGCTCAGGAAGCTGACTGATGAAATAGTATGGACAGAATGATATCATGTCTCAGGTTGTCCTCAAAGTAGAATCAGAGAAGGAAAGCACATGAAGGTAGAGATGGAAGAGATTAGATATGTTTTGCTAATGATGGGTGTTTGATGGATACATTGGAATCCACTGTATTATCCTGTTTTTATACGTATTAGAAATGGTCCCTGATAAAGAGTTCTTTAACAAAGAGGAGGAACATAACTGTTGAAAAGATTAGGTCAAAAGCAAATGTTCTCCATTTCTTTGGGTTCTCATTTATAGTTTATCTTCAGGCCTAGTCTTTTGGAGAGGGAGGAAAGTGGGAAGACCAAGAAGTCAGAAGTCTTTGTTATGTGCATCTGAAATCTCCTATATCCCTCCTGTTGAGCCCAAAATTGCACCATAAGGTGTGTTTGGATTTTTTTTTTTTTACACAAATAGTTGTTAATCTTATCTCAAATGAGATAGCTGTCATTCTTGGGCATTTATAAAACTTTTGTTGAGAAATTGTTGGCATACTTGCTCAGAGTTTGCTAGCTGTCTTGCAGCATCCCGGGGTGACAACTGATAAAGCCATTTCAAAAGCCACACATGTCTTGATTTGCATTTTTTGCTGCTGTCTGCTAACAATGTAGCCTCTGGAAGGGGCAGTGCTATGAGACTGCCATCTGTCCCTGGAGCTGGCAGCAGGAGACCCTGGGTACCCAATGCTGTCCTTCAACCTGGGAAAGGACCACCACACATATCCAGGTAGGTCACCATGTGTCACATCCTCAGGGGCTGTGAAGGTGGGGATTTTTCTTATTCTTCTGGAAAGCAGTGTGCATCACTGTGCACTTAGACACAGAGGTGCTCAGCAGCAGTGGAGGGGAATTCACTGCGAGCTTTTTAGTGTCCAGCATGACAGATATCCTGTAGCTCATCCCACTAACAGCTGGCAGTTGGGTGGATTCAGTTCCTCAGCTGTAGATGAGGAAAAAGCTCAGAGAAGGTGACTTCCTCTCTTCTAGGTAGTGTTCTGTGATTAGTACCGCAGACTGATTTCAGTGCTGGAGTCCTTTCCTGATCGCCACTGCTCCTCACAGATTTCTAATGCACCCGAGGGAGATGTGGCCCCGTCCAGCTCCCCAGGAGGGAAAAGGAAGGGTATTGAGTGTACAGCTGTCAGTGCTAGGCACCGATTGTGCCAGCAGTTATACACACTGTGCCACCCAACGCCCATGAGCCCTAGGGAAGAGGTGGCTTCACAATCCCTCATTCATCCCTGAAGGGTGGAGATGCAGAGAGAATGAGGAACTTGCCGAAGGCAATTCAGCGATTGTCTGGGGATGAACACAGCAGCTGGACAATCACTCATGCCTCCCCACAGCCCTGCATGTGACCGGAGACTCAGTTCAGTTTGTACTTCCTTCCCTCCATTCTGCCTCCCTGTCCTTCTCCTTCCCTCCCTCCCTTCCATTCCTTCCCTACCAAGCCTGGTCAGGGAATGTAAAGTTGAAACTGAGTACTACGAAGCTCTTACCTGGGAGGATCTTCAGTTCCAGTTCCGAAAGAAAGAAGCGCTGGTTCACCGGAAGCAGGTGTGAACCAGAGCCTGCCAGTCACCCCTGCGGAGTCCAGAGGTATTGACGAGCCTGTGGTGTGGTCACTGAAGGGAAGAACTGAGGCACCAGGCACTTCCTGTTCTCCACTGGGAGACTCCCTGGGTGGGGGGCGTGCGGCAGCAGCTCTTTGAGTCTCCTGGTGACCCTGACAGAGGGAAAGGGCCAATGTGCCTGTGACACTTGTTCCCCTGCAGAAACGGCTATATTTCTCCCATCTGTGTAAAGGCTTAGTCCTCAGAATGCCAGGCTAGGGTCCTACCTCTTTCTCCCATGCTTCTCCAATAAGTACCACTACTCATTGTTCTTATTAGGTGGTTTTGTGGCCAACAGAGGCTCTGCCACTGTTTAAAGGATTTCGGTTTCCTTTTGTTTTCAATCTGGAAATTTTCCTCCCTCTCACCTTCTTTAACACCCATGTCCAGGGAGTGGCTCTTTTATCTCTAATGGGATGTGGCTCTTTCATCCCTAACAGGATAACAAGGGATGAGGGGATGAGGAAGGCAGCACAGATGCCTCCGTGATCCTCACCCTCTTGGGACACAAATCTGTGGTACTGCATCTGAGCAGACCTGCATCTTACGAACCCCAGAAGTGTCTGCCCCTGGGAGAGGGGAGCTCTTGGATTTCCAGTCCCTGGGCCACACCCCAGGGTCCCGCTCTGAAGTCTTGGGGAGCCCCTCACTGAATGGGCCACCAGCCTCAGGGCAGCCTGGCCCTCTCACTCGTGAGGGCAGATGTTTCCTCAGCCGAACCTGACTCAGTGTGGTAGCGGGCTGGGAGCCCCTCTCTGTAGAGAGAGGCCCAGACAACTTCCCTGAGCATAGCCCGATCCTGGGGAGGAAGTCCCCAAACACTGGCAGGGTGGTCCCTGTCCCTAAGGAGTGGGCCCAGCAGGGGGCACTGGGCTTATTTCCCCTGAACCCTGGCCTCTGGGCTCCCTGGTCCTGCTCAGCCCCTGCTCCAGTGCAGCCCTTCCTCCTCCTAGGAGACAAGTTTGACCTCAGCTCTCCAGACATCCAGACCCTGGCTGCCCTACTTGCCAGAAAGATGCCCTCCCATTTCCTCTTTTAAGGAGCAAGCAATGTCATTTAATTGCTCAAATATAACTTTTCCCTAGGGAGGCAAGACTCCTTCAGGATAAGCTCAGGCATTTCCTCTCATTCTGTTAATAGAAAATGAGGCCTATTAGGAGGACGGATCCTTAAACTACTCACCAGGCTTGAAACTTTTCTGCTGGTCCCACAGTTCTCTAGTTGGACAGAGCCTTCTTGGCCTCTCCCTTCTCTCCTGGAGGGCAGAGAACATTGTCCAGGCACTGGCATTAAGATGAGAAGTGATAGATTTCTTTCTCCTTAAAATAGCAGCTACATGTAATGACCACCTTCTCCTTCCCATAATACCCCATTTCCTGCCACAAGCTCTCCTTCTTCACACAATCCACTGTGTTCCCACCTAAAACCCAACCCCAAGATGGCTTCCTTCCTGCCCAAACTGGTTTTCTTCTTCCCATAATGCAGTGTTTCCCGCCTAAACCTAGCCTCAAAATGGCTTCTCCTGCCGAAAGACAATCTTCTTCTTCCCAACATGCCTCTCTTCCCACCCAAAAAGTAACCTGGTACTTGCTCCCTTCCTGGCAACTAGTGATGAGACAAGTTCCTCCAATCCCTTGGGTGACATGCCTTGTAGACCCTCCAATCCCTCACTGTCATACCTCTCAGTCCCCACACAACCTCTATAAAGGTGCTCCAGCCCCTGCCATGTTGCTGCACTCTTTGTTCAGAGGCAGCCTGGCAGATTGTCCCTTCTCCTTAATAAAGGCTTGTTGTGGGACTGGTCTGGTCTTGGTTTTTGGCTTTTTAATCTGACAAGAAGTAAACACAAGGAAGTCAGACACAGGACATCTATGGGCTGTGTTTTAGTTGTTGGTCGGTGTGGGCTCTGACTGAGGCTGTCTTACTAGAAATTGCTCTGTCTTCTTTGGCTTCAGAGAGTTTCCTTTTCCAGCCCACAGGAGGAATCAGAGTTCAGTTACTCCGGGCAGTTGCCACTGTTCATTCACCTTCCGAGACTGAAGAGAGGAAAGCAGGATTATACTCCAGCATCAAAGACTGAAGCTCTGTTTGCGGTGTTCTTCGTCAGGGACTGAGCCACCTATTTCCCCGAGTTGTCCTTTAAACCTGGTATTTATGTGACATCTATAAGAGATGAAGTGTTGTGGTTTAGATCAACAGTGATCCCCACACTCAGATATGCTTTGGAGGCTGCCCCTTTGGAAGGCAAATGGACCACAAGGTTGATATAGCTGAGCTGCTGTTGGGAAGTGGAGCTAGCTGGGAGTGAGCTCATGTCTTCCCACAGCCCCTGCCTTCTGTCTCCGCTTCAAGGCCACCACGACTGAGCAGCTTTCCTTCCTCAGACCTTTCTACCCTCACCTTGCCGTCCCAGAGCCAGCCAACCATGGACTGAAAACATGAACCAAAATAAACCTCTCCTCCTTTACGTGTGGGTGCTGGGGATTTTGTCTCAAAGGAACTTGCTAAAAACACAAAATGAGTAATTAGCGGAGCAGAGAACTGAACTCAGTTCCATCTTAACTTCTACACTATAGTGGTTTGGTGCACATCACCATGGCAACAGTTATGACGCCGATGCCATGCAAGTAGTTGTGGAAACACAAAGGGAGTGGCTGCTTATTCTGCCTGGTGGTATTAAAGCAGACTTCCTAGAGGAAATACTGTGTGCCTGGTCATTTGGCTGTGGAAAACAGACACGTCCTGCCCACGGGAGAAGGACAGAGAGCATTCAAGTCTGACAACGCCCCACATCCAAAGGCACAGTGACCAGGAGAAGAGAGACTGTGTTTTTGGGGTGTGGGAAAAAGGAAAAAGGAAGAAGTGACACCTTCATCACCTTAGCCAGGAACATGCCACACATATAGTGTCCAGCAGGACATTTTCAGGGGAAAGTCTTAAATTCTGTGAAAGGACATACAAAAATGCCACCACCTGGACCTTTGTAAGAGCTTTGAATTTTGAGATTCATTTGATACCGACTCTGTGGGCGGTCTCTGTAATTGAGTGGGCTCTTTTCTCATCTGTGTAGATTGAGAGAAGATCATGATGGGATGCTTTAGGATGCAAAATCATGAACTTGAAATCTCTAGCAATGGCCTTGTACTTGTGGCATGTTGGCCATAAGGGGGCAAGAGCTGTTTGTCACTGCATGATCGGGACTCTGCACTGAGGTGTTCTGCCGCCCCATTACGTGCTGTTGGTGACTGGTGCCTCGAGCCAGCCCCATCTGCAGCTCTTCTCCTTCTTCACACAGCCCCCCCCCACTTCTCTGCAGAGTGACTCCACGTAGCCAGGACTCATTTCAACCAGTATTGCATCTGAAGAACTGCAGAATTTATAATTCCTCTGCAAAGGAATGAAAAGCTACTTTCCATTCTCTTTCCCATGATATTTTGACTTGAGCTGTCCACACCCGGGTCCCTACTTCCAAAAACTGCAGAGGAGTTTTGTGGAATGAAAGAGCAGGCTGCTTATGGAAAACAGCTGAGACTCAAGTGTTCTTAAATGGCCTGTTCCAAGGCTTCCTTCGGTTCCTTTCTGTATCCCTTGTGGGATCCACTTTTCCAAATGTAAAAAAAGAAATCTCATTCGTTCATCAATGTCTTAGAAATGTCTGGAGTTTTCTAAGTATCATGCTGGACTCTGCAGATACAAGCATGCTCACAGTAGACATGGTCTCACAGCACATAGAAGAAAAAGATGCGAATGGATGCATCAGCAGAGGCTGGCGGCTGTCAGGTCTTGTGGTCCTTGTGGCCTCAGCACGGGCTCATAGTTCATCTCCCCAACCAGGAGGAAACAGCTGTAATAAAGGAACCAGCAGAAACCTGGAGGCTCATGCCAGTTTGGATGCTAAATAACTTAGTCCCCAGGTTCCATTCAGTATTCCAAAGTCTATTGTTTAGAATCAACTTGTGCCACCCTGTCCCCCGTAACGTCCCAGACCAAAGTGCATGGAGCCGCAGCTGTGCTGGGTGAGGGTCCCTCCTCCAACCATTGCGGCAGAAGCACACACTTACCCACACTCCCCGTCACATGGGGAGCCCCCCAGCTGCTACTCCAGAGGCTGCGCCCTCTCTCTGCTCAGCCCTCCGCAGTTTCTCAGACCTGGGCTGGGCTGAGGGTGGAGGGCTTCCTCCTTTCATGTACTGTTCATAAATCGTTGCTGTTTCCCCCTTACATTGTGGAATGGAATTATAATATATATTAAGAAATGCACAGAAGGTATATGTACTTTATTAATTATACAGTGAACACCTGGGAACTGCCACAGGTCACAAATCAGATTTGTACAAGACACCAACACGCTGTCTCTGTCCTCATCTGTAGAAGACCCTGGAGGGAGCCCAGGATCCTGACACTTTTAGTAACCTCGCCTCCTGCTTTTAACACAGAAGCACCTCATACACACCCCCGAATCATGTAGATTACTTCTGTCTGTTTTGAGCTCTAAGAGCATTAATCGTGTTACTTGTATCCTTGCACGTTGGGCTCAACACCCTGGGCTGAGACTCGCTATTGCTGTGATTGTCATTTTTATCACCTTGTACAAGACTATCACTACCTCCCTACTTTCCTGCTCACTTTGGCGGGTGGCACGTACACTTTTCTACTCCCTGGAAGATCTGCCCTCAGTTTTGAGTACTGTTGGCCTTTAGTTGCTTCTCTCATAACCTTTCCATGCTGCATGATACTTTTGTTATGAAAATGTTCCAACATGCACAAATTTGAGTGAATGGCTCAATACCTCCCCCTTCCACTCTCTCAGCTCCACCAATTATCAACTTACAGCCAAACCTGCAGCATCTGTACATCCAGCTGTCCAAAGATAGAACCCAGGGTTCATATTTTTATTCATAAATATTTAATATTTTCCTCAAAACCTTAAGGACATTTTTAAAATATAATGGTGATACCAAAATCATACATAGGAAATACTAAAATAATAGTTTTATACTAAAAATGAGCAGATATTCAAATTTTCTTATTATCTGAACACATTTCTAAATTCTTAATTTGTTTGATCAAAATGAGATTCATAAACTCACTGCCTAAGTGCAGTGAAATCGCATGTATTTCTCTTGGGTAGTTTTCATCTATAAATTCCTATCCAGTTTGCTCTCTTCAAGTCTGTCTTATTCTCTTCATCTTTCTTCTAATTTTGATCTCTCTCTATCTTTACAGTTAAAAAATTAAATTTATTTTAAATAATACACAAAACATAAAATTGTGTGTATTATAATATAATATTTTGATGCATGTACACATTTTATTTTTATTTATTTATTTTGGTACTGGGGATCGAACTCGGGACCTTGCACTTGCGGGGCAGGCGGCGGCACCACTGAGCTAAATCCCCAGCCCATGTACACATTTTATGCTTAAATCAAGTTAAACACATCTATCTCCTCTCCTTCCATTTATATATTCTTTATGGTAGAAACTTTCAAAATCCTTTCTTTTAAATTTTCCAAATGCCTTTAATATCTATAGTCACCCTTCTGTTCAACAGCAGAATAGAACTTCTTGCAAATATCAATGTGAACTTAATACCCCTTGATCCACCTGTCTCCATCCTCATAATGTTCTCTTGTTCATCCATGTCATCACAAACTACAGGGTTTCAGAGTTGCATTCTTTTCATGGCTTAATAATAATCCATTGTGTAATACGTACCACATTTTCTTTATCCATTCTTCAGTTGATAGACACTTCAGTTGTTCCCATTACTTGTTACTTTGAATAATGTTTGGGACCATGATATTTCAGATGTCTCTTCCATGTACTGATTTCAAGCCCTTTGTATATATACACACTAATGAGGTTGCTGGTCTTGTAATAGTTTGAGTTTTTAATCTTTTGAAAAGCCTCCATATTGTTTTCCATAATGGCTGTCCTAATTTATATTCCCACCAACAGTGTGCAAAGTTTGTCCTTTCTCCATATCTTCACCAGCACTTGTTATCTTTTTAGGTTTTTTAATAACAGTCAGTCTTATTGGACCGAGATGATATCTCCTTGTGCTTTGGGTTTGTGTTTCCCTGGTGATTAGTAATGTTGAGCATTTTTTCATGTACCTGTTGGTCATTTTTATTTCTTCTTTTCAGAAATGTCTATTTAGGGTCACAGCCCATTGTTAGATCATTTTGCTTGGGATTTTGGGGGGCAATTGGGAGTTTGCAATTCCCAATACATACTTGGTGTCAATCCCTTGTCCGATAGATTGCAAATGTTCTCTCCTGTTCTGTGTCTCTTCACTCTGCAGATAGCTTCATGTGCTGTACAGAAGCTTTTCGGTTAGATGTAACCCGATTTGTCCAAATTTACTTCTGTTTCTTATGGTTTTGGAGACTTCTACTGTTGTCTCCTCTCTCTCCTTTCCCCTTCTGCATAGGAAATAACTTCTTTTTAAACTTTTGCATTTTCTTCTATTTTTAAAAAAGATAAAAGTGTGTATGTATTCTCTCACCTTTCTTAAGTGGTGACATACTACACATTTTTCTAGTCTTGCTTTTTTTTTCACTTAACCACAAATCATTTCAAGAATATTGTACAAATGGCAAGAGAGCATGCAACTTAGAAACTGGCTCTTCTCACTCAGAATATTTCTCTGGAGATCAACCACAGTGTTGATTGTATCAATAGGTGCTTTGTTTTTGTTTTATTTGGGGTCATGAACATACTATAGTTTCTTAAACCATTCATCTTGTGAAGGACGTCTGGGTTACTTTAGTTTATATGGCTCTTATAAATAAAATTCATACAAGGTTTATGTGAACAGAAGTATTAATTTCTCCTTGATAAACACTCAGATATATATTTGTTGAGTTGCACTATAATGTGTGTTAATTTTTAAGGAAACTTCCAAGTTGTTTTTTGGACTGGTTGTTAACAGTTTAGGTTCCCACAGCAGTGTACGCATAACCCAACGTATCTACAACCTTTCCAGGATTTGATGTGGTCACAATTTTTGATTTTAGATATTCTGCAAGGTGTGTAGCCATACCTTGTCCTGGTTAGAACCGATATTTTCTTAATGGGTAGTTATGATAAATGCCTTTTATGTGCTTATTTTCCACCTCTGCATCCTTTTCCATGAAATGTCTCTTTATGTCTTTTAAAATTGTTTGATGTTTTAAAGTATTGGGTTTTGAGAATCTTCATAGAGCTCCAATTCATCAGAGCATTAGAAAAACCCTTTCTGTGGTCATCCCTAATACCTGCCCGTTGCTGTCAATTTATTACTCTGCTCTTTTTACTCACAGTGGTCCTTCCTGTCAGGAACCACCTTTTAATCTATTCATTCATTTGATATTCTGTCTCCCCACTTCCACTCAAACTTAAATTCTATGCAAATAGAAATTTTACCCTCTTTTAAAATGTAGTATACCCAGCACTCAGACTAATACCTAATATCAACAGGAACTTATTAAATATTTGATGAATAAAAGAATAAAAAACTCATCTATTTATTATTTCTTCCTTGTGAGAAAGCACATATCTCCCGT